AGTGAGTGCACGAACTACTGCGCCACAGCTCCACCCTCGGTGTGTTCTAAATAACGTCGACATTTCTATTAATAATTTTTACACAACGACGTCTGTAAGAGCTGCCGTAAATTCCGCTACGATTGCTATCAGAGATCCCAGATGCCTCGTATTTTACGCTCCACGCCTCGATCTATCATTTGTGAGGCTCCTAGAGCCAAACTAAGGCATCTCCTATAACAGCCACGCGCCGGTGGGTGCAATTTCCTTAAATAATTCCATACATTTCCGAACGCTCACACAGCCAAGCCACCCACCCTATCGTTGCATATTACCGCAATAATAATAATAATTAAAATTTGAAATATATTATTTTCTTATTCCCCATAGCATTTTCCCTGGGTGCTTATACAGTTACAGTGGAGCGTTCCAGAGCGTGTATAGAGCATATTAGCTTCCTTACAGCTGTTTAAACGGTTCAGCGTTCAGCCCCATGCAGTGACGAGCAAGCCACGCGCACTGCATGCGTGTGTAGCTTGGCTTTGTTGGATTTTCCCGACACAAACCCTCTATTGTCTCCGGGTAAGCGAGCGCAGGAGAACATTTCAGACAAGACAGCTTATTTTTTAGGCGCAGGATATATATTTTTGACAAAACAAAAAAATGGAACAAAACAATTTAAGGTACAAAGACGTCTGGGATAAACGCATACTTGGAATTGACTGACAGATAGAAAAGAGGAACATGTGTACGGTGTATTAGAGAACTGGTTCACGGCATGATTCAAACTGTTAAGAAAAGTAAGTGGGCTTGGTGATGATGCTGATGGCCGATGATCAAAAATAATGACGGAGCAACGGCCAAGTTATGGACATGCGGCGGAGAGGAAAGTTCACCTCCGAGGCGTTGCAGCGAATACATCAGCTCATGCAATGAGTGCTGGACGGATTGTTCCATCGCAGGGTCGTGAGAGAGATCGCTGCCGCTTGGGGAAGCCTTCATCCAGCAGTGGATTGACCAAGGCTGCTGCTAGTGATGTAACAACAGTGGCCCTGCAGAGAATGGTTGTGAGTGACGCGTTCGTCCCGCCCTCCCGCATGCTCCGAGGAGCAGGTGACAAGCCCCGAGCTGGAGCTGAGTGGAACACCTGCGCGAGTTTACACTCCGCCCCCCCACTCCGCAACGCCCAGGCAAGTGCTGTGACTGCCCTATTGTTAGCATTTCTATATTGAAATGAAAACAATTGTGATACCGCGTTGGCAGTGGCGCAGTGTTATTGGCACTTTGGCCAATAACACTGCCGTGAAAGACATACACATATATATTCGTAATGGGCGACGTTTTGTGTTTAGCTGGGACGTCCTTCTGCATTGAACGACCCTCCTGTAGATGAGGCTGGAGAGTCGATGATAATTTCCCGTGTAAATGATTGGCACTACGTAGACGAATTGGGATTTTGTTTGGTTAATTTACGCTTGGACTTACATTTTTGTAGATAAATTTGTTATTGAGTAAATTGATAACGTTTGAGACATCTTCTATGAAACCTTTCCACACAATACGCATTATACGACGTCTGTATTTAATTTGTACGTGAAAACATAGAAAGGAACCAGAATGCTTCCAGCGCATACGTGTGTACAAATTGCACAAGTTATCAATTGCAAGTCCTGAAAGATATTAAACCCAATTTGAAATGGCAATCACCCTATTCTCGTCTCGTTTTCTTTCTTTGTGTTCGCAATACGCGTCCAGCTTGCGGACATTTAATTTTTATAACGTATTGTGACATTCAATTTCCTAATAATAAAATACAAATAATAAAAAGAATACAAACAAAACTCACGACGTTTCGATCGCAACACAAGCAGTCGTCATCAGGCGCCTAATTATTTTTATTATTATTATTTTATTATTATTATTATTTTCCATCCACGTGACTTTACCGAAAAGAACCAAAGAATATGAATTCCTGCAGTCACGAAAGTTTTAAAGTCAAAATTCAATTTCATATCAAGGTATCAAGAATGAGCATTCAATGTCGCTTACAAAGAGCATAGCGTAGGCTAATGCATAATAAATATGCAGTGCGATTTTATGATATTTGCACGTACGATTTTGTTTGATTCTTAGTTTCTTTCATATGGAAACAGAATTCTGAAAATATTTGATCACTGATAGTTAAAGAGACATCAGTTATTCTAATCCAATAACGTTACGTTAATAAAAAAAAACTCCACATGTTTTGCAAATTGAAAACTATTGTAAGTCCCTGTGATGAACGCGGTTTCCCAACAACTGCGGGTCTCTGCGATTCCTAACGCCGCCTGCACAAAACCACCAGTCGCACTGCACAGGTCGTGCAGCATTGTGAACGTCTATGCTACGTTGCATTTGCGTCAATCCCTATAAATTGTGTTCACCTGACATAAGAATGGTTATAATTCACGGCCCTTTTATCAAGCTACTGCTGGATTAAAGAACAGATACATACTTCTCGATTTAAAGCTTTCGTGACTGCAGTGATTCATCTTCTTGGTTCTGTCGGTAAAGTCACGTAGAATGGAAACAATAAAATAATAAAAATAAAACATAATAAAAAATAAAATTCTCACGACGTTTCGGCCACAACACAAGAAGAAGGCTACTTGTGTTGTGGCCGAAACGTCGTGAGAATTTTATTTTTTTATTATGTTTTATTTTTTATCATTTTATTTTCATTCTACGTGACTTTACCAAAAGAACCAAGAATAAAAAAAAGAACAGATACATACATAGATATAGACCCCAATCCCCCTTGTCGAGTCAGTGATTGTGGAGAGGATTGCTTGACCATACTTCACTACGCTGGTCAGTTCTAGATGGTTAAGGAGACATTCTGCAGTAGTATGTATGTATGTTGAACTTATTTCGCACCTCACGTAGCCAACCGTGCTAATCGGAGGTGTTGAGGGAGAGAGGGCTTGGAGCGCTTCATAACATATCACTCGCCACTTTTATCCTTGGCCTGGAATCAAACTCAGGTGGTTGTGTTGATCGCGCGGTGCGCTAACCGCGACGCCGCCCCCCACCCCAGGCTCCCCATTCACTTGACCTCGCAGTGATGTGCACGTGGAGAAGATTAGGCATGCGTGGAAAAGCGACCGTGGTTTTGGTCGCGAGGATTGGAGTTCGCAGTCAGCTCATGGGGGAAGCGCTGCTTAATATCAATAAACACATATCTCATATCCCCGCCTGCTTCAGCATAATCGGACCTCAAGGAGGATGTTCTTTCTGCCATGCTGTCATATTACGTGTTCCAGTCCTGCTCGACCGATGTGTAAGAATATAATTTATTCGACACGTAAATGTACGAGCAAAAATGAAATCCCGAGTTAAAAAAAAATCACCGTAGCTTATTGTGATGTCGCCCATAGTTATTCAGTAAGCATGATGACATTATTTGCTTACTGAAACAATATTTTAAACGGGCAGTTCTCTGAGGACGATTTGTATCCATGAAATCAAATTTCTAAACTATTGCTCTTCACTGCACAACGCATGTGTATACACACAATGACAAAGATCCCCCCGGTAGTCTTAACCGACTGTTGGGGCAAGTGCTGTTAGTGAGCACCTATGATGGACGGCATGGCACACGAGGAGGTGGGTGGCCAGCACCACGCCCGGCCGCCTTTATTTCTCCCTAGTGGCGAGGTTTACACACCGCACCGGATACTAATTTGAGGCTGAGTCGACCTAGCGGAGGCCCAGGACAGGCTCAGATAACCGTCACTGCTGTTGGCCGTGAGCGGGAATCGAACGCGGGTGGCCGGGTTCGGGGATCAGCGCGCTCACCGCTGTACACGACCACTCCCCACACACAAACACCCATACGCCGACACTCACATAAGCGTCTGCATACTTGATTGAGTGTCTGCTGCGTTTCAGCGGTTACTTTTATTACTCGTAACCGGTAGCAGCCTTTGCCAGATTTCTATCGACTTTAGCGTCACCCTCCACCGAGACGAATTATTTGGTTCACTGATAATGGAGGTTGTAAATTGTCAGTGTTAAGCGCGAGATTTAAACCACTGTATAGATAGAACCTTAGCCTGATCCTGCCTTATTACAAGTGAAACCAAATAAACCTTCTGGATATATATTTTTTTCGGGCACAAATTCAAAGGTTCCAATTTTTTGCCGAATTATTTTTTTCTCGTTTTGAGTATAGACTCGACTACATTTATGCCAAAAACATTTTTTTTTAGCCCATCTGGAGCATAATGAGAATTCTCACCAGCGATTCGCGCAGCTTGGCTCGGAAACTCTCTTTCAACGTCTCTTTCCCGAAGTATCTCTCTCTATCCTCGCTCAAATCAAGCACGCATCCTTCTTCTCTTCTGCCCGCCCCCTTATCTGCTGCATGATCTTTGCCGACGGCTCTGGGCTTTAGACTTCTGGGTCTGGGCTCAGTAACAGTTTCTGTAATTCAGGGCTTATTTTCACCCGGTCATCCGCACAGCAGCGGATTTTGGCTCGCCATCCAACAAAGGCGGTCACGGCATTGCGCGCTTTCAGATGCGCTTCTGCGGAACGCTCTTCCACCCCATATTAGGAAGCCACTGGAGCTGTGCACTTTTATATCTGGATTGAAAACTCATTACTTTAGAGCAGTTTTTTTGCGTGTTTAGTTTATTGTCCTATTGTCCGATGAGCACGCTTGGCTACGTGCGGTGCGATAGAAGTTCAACATACAGCACATGCATACACACACCCGGGTCTGTCATGGGTCGGAGACGCTGGAAATACTTCCGCACCCGGCACACCACGTCCGATGTACATTCATTGCTATGGCCGTGGCTACTAGCGACGTGCCTAGCCCAGTCTACCAGCGACCCGGGACATATCCAGCGGTAGAAGAAGAACCCCTTTCTTGACCGTATTAGACGTGTGTGACCAATGGCCCGATATTTTGAGGTGTGTGAGTGAGACCTCCCTCTCTTCCGACTCCGTTGCTTTGACACTTGAGCTGACACCGGTGCATGGGGTGAGAGGGTGGAGGGGGATGCAGAGGCGGAGCCAAATCGCATGCTGCTGCGAGGCTGCACTCAAACCTCCCCCGGCTCGCATCCCGTGCTCAAGCACCAGTCGGTCGCTCCCTCCCCTCCCCTTCCCTCTCTCTCTCACTCTCCACACACTCGCTCGCTCACTCACCCAGACTCACGGCACTCCACACCGCACGCAAGCTCGTTTGCCCGCCCAGACAGAAGAGCCGCATGCCCCGGCGGCTAGGCTCAGTCTCTCTCTCACTCCATCCCTCTGCGCTCTCATCTCGTCTGCTCGGATACGTCGGGACGGAAAGACAAAGCCGTGCTCCCCCTGCTGTGTCGTCCTCGGATGTCTTAAGCTCTCCTTTTCTCAAAGGGAAGAGGACGAGGAGAGCTCATTGAGCGGTGGTGGCCTCGTGACCGAATGGAATAGAGGATCATTAACAACGGAGGCAGATGTTTGCGTGTGTGTGTGTGCGCGTGTTAATTAATTACACAAATTGGCCGCGAGGTCACACGAAATGTAGCTCGCTAGGTAAATGAAAGAACGGAGGAGGCTGCGGTTTACGGAGGTCAGACCCCTGGCTATGTGTGAGGCTGTATGGATGTGTGGGGTGCCCCGCTGGATGTCTACCCGTAACACGCCGGCTTGAAGAAGACCCGGCGCATTGGTGCCTCGAGGATTCGTGAGCTGGTATGCGCCGCGCCGTGCTCACTCGGCTCCTTTCATCCGAATGACCCCCCCTCGTGTCTCGCTCGCGTCTTGGGATGTACATCACCTCCTCGTGGGATGTCCCATTCTCGAGACGCGTGCACACGGTAAGTGAATCACGCGCGCACACACGCGACGCGCACGCGGTCACATTGTCTGGCACACGCATCGATACATTAATAGACTATGACGCCTTTCTGACAGATTTTGCTAATTGAGTCACGGTCACGCTAACGCTCATAAATCGGTAACAAAGGTAATTGTCACCCGAACTTGCGGTGAGCTGTTATGAGTCGTGCTAGCACAGCAACAACACCATGAATATAAACACAATGATACAATTATAATTATTTGGGTCGTTCGGTAAAGTCACGTAGACAGAAATAAAAATATCACGACGTTTCGATCACAAGCAATCGTTATCAGGCCCGCGATCGAAACGTCGTGATGTTTTTATTTTTGTATCTACGTGACTTTACCGAAAGACCCAAAGAATATGAATTCCCACAGCCACGAAAGCTTTGAGTCAAGATTTATACAATTATTCTTCCTCGGTTGATATGTCATAAACACTCTACCTCATCGTATCACGGATTCCTGATTAACAGGCACGCATAACTCCTGAAAGGTGGCAGGTGATAGCACAGCGCAGAGAACTACTAAATTGTGTCGCTGTCGATATGTCGGTGTGCAGAACACGTGCGCGTCTGTTGCTGTCCCCCCCAAGCATGCCGTGGCAGAACTCGTTTTCCTTGTTTTCTGTTGTTGTTGTTGCTGCTGCTGCATGTGGCACTCACTTGACAAAGGCGTCTGTCTGCCCGAAATTCAAGCGTGGTGCTGTGTCCCTTGTGTTTGCCAGTCAGCGGGCGAGCGCTGGACCCAGAGAGGTCAGAGGTGTTTTATTACCTGCCCGGCTTGTTGCTATTTACGTGTAGGGCCATAAAACGCTACCGGCTTTGATGTTAACGAATTACAGATGGGGACATTCCTCTTAAATTGAGTTAAGTTTTATGCACTCCTTTCATTTAAAATTTGGCACATGTTCTAAAATTTCGTCATGCTCTAAGAGTCTAAATCGCTTTGTACAAACTGAGATTTGAATACGTTTTTTTGCTCGTTGACTGGAGATTAACATGGATTTAAAAGGTTTCAATTTACAAGAGAGAGTTAAACGAGCAGGGCGCCGTGCGTTGTGTGTCAATTTTTATAGCCATACGTGTGAATGAAATATTCACACTTTGAATATCACACAATCACGATATGAACATGTTTTTGTCAAATGACAGATACATGATAATTACACATTGCCTCCAGCAGATATAAATCCACGTGTGTCTTTCCTGGGCTGGTGCTACAAAAGTTTTAGTTTTTTTATCACGATAAGGTTTGGTCAGTTATAACAAGGATCTCGTAAAAATGTTGTGGCAATAGATTTACCTGCTGCATAATGCTGTGTGTGGCAGTGTATCACTCAAAATCTAATGGACGCAAAAAAACAGCTCAGGTTTGCCTCAGCTCATCATCAATTTATGGGTCAATCAATGTTCGAATACCGCTTTTATGGGAAGTCAACAGTGGTTGTCACGAAGTGCACCTGTATTATGAATGTGGAATGTCCACTACTGGCATATGTTTATATATGTAAATAGCACTGACCCCATTGTGCAATTGTGTGTGCATTTTTGAATTTTTTTAAACAATACTAAAAGAATAATAAAAATTACTACTATAATTGATTTTGAATGCTTTTCATCTTGATATTCTAAATTTAAATAATGGTAAAATGTTTAGTGTACATTTATAGCCCTTTGCCAATCCACTGGGATGTTTGCCTTCACTGCACCACAAGGCCAGACCAGGTTGGTGAAGGTGGGGAAGCCCAGGACTGGTTCCGATATCACTCGATAATTTCAACCAGCGCTGTGTGTAACTGGACGCTCCAGAATCGAAGTTATACATACATGCGTTTACTCCCTTCCATGCTTGTACTCAGGATCCATGGTCCCATATAAAGTATTACACTTGCTAGTTCTACCGAATGTGACAAAACCTAGTTAAAAATTTGTATTTTTAATAGGTCTCTAACCATATTGTGGCTAAAAGAAATCAGGGTTCAATACTGTCACTGCATGTATAAATAAAAAATATTGTTTAGTCTATTGGCTTTATAGAGCATACAACTATTATACATAATCATATGCAGTATGACATTTTCATGGAATGTCCATTCACTAAAAGGGTTATAAAGTATTAATTCACACTTTTTGGTAACACAGGAAATTGATGTCACTGAATTTTCCCACCTCAAGTGGTTTCCATTCCTGTTCTAGTTCAAGGACTGAATTAGGGAAAGGATTTCGGTTTCGTGGCATGCAAAGGTTCAACAAGTTGAGATACAGCAGATGAGTGAAATAATTTGGAGAAGAATGTAATGCAGAAATCTTATGAAAATGTAGATTTTCATAATTTTTGCAAAAAAAAGTTTAACTGAGAATTAGTGAATATCTCAGCAAAATATAAAGTAATTAAATAATTTCAGATACAACCATGCACATGTCAATCATTTAAATATTAACAGTAATTCAATAATTACACATGATAGTTACCATTACCGTTAACAAAAAATGGTATCGCATATATGCAGCTTGTTTAAAACTAGCGTGCTATGTTGAGTTTTTAATTAGTCGCAGGATGTGTGACCAATCACCAGTTAATTGGCCATTCTGCCGAGGCCGCAACTGTGCAACACAATCCACCTTCAATCACCGATCAAACGACACCTGCGCCACACGAGACAGACGCCGTGCGCGTGAACCCGGCTGAGTCCGTTGTGCTCTTGCACGTTCATCGATTTCTGCTTCTTGGGCTGTGGGCGGCGGTTCGTGCTCAGTATCTTGCTCTTCTGTGCCCTCCCCATGAAAACATCTCTTTCAAGCTTCCTGAGAGGGTCTCTCTCTCTCTGTGCCTCTCTGCAGCCGGCAGTGGCCCGATGTCCTGTGCCAAGGGTCTCATGAATCGCCCCCTTTGTCGGAGTCCATTACCAAAAAAAAGGTTGTGTGGGACGAGGGGAGGGGGGGGGCGAGAGGAGTGTGGCTTGTGGGGGGGGGGGGGGGGGGGGGGCGCTTGTGGGGGTGTGCGGATTTACAAAGGCCATTATAAGGTCACCTAAATCCAGTGCGCTGCCGCATGCAAGGCGAAATTGTTTTGCCATGAAAGACAAAGTTTGCGCCTGGCCCCGGCCGCTACACAAAATGCTTCTTTCAGAAAAGGTTCCCTCTGATCGTAAATCACTCGGCAGCCCCCCTCGCTTCACGGACAGAGACGCTTGTGTATGTCACTACACAACGCCGCTCCTCATCCATCCATTCGCCAGACAATGCCACTTCTTTTAGTGTTTCTTCTTTAATTTAAGATTATTTAACAGACACTTATTGTGCGTCTTCTCATTAGTACCGGCATGTGTGTGTGTGGATTATTGTTTGTGTACTTGGCTCTTTCATGTTCGAAGTAATATCATCCCAAAAAAAAAAACTGCTCGGACATATGATGGCTAGCAAATGAGCTACTGTAAGTGAATATAATTATTAAGGGATTATAAGAGGTATATATTTTAATCGTGTATGAGTTGCAGGGCACGGTTTTATATTAAATGTAAAGAAATATGGCGGGCTCCTGAAATAAAATCGTATATATCTGAATTGCAATGTCTTAGTTTCGATACTGCAGGCAGTTCTATCTCTCCTTCTCAATTGTAAAAATATAATATTCTAAAAATAGTATCTGCTTTTAATGTAAATCGAATGCCCCCAACATGATCATCTTAGCATATTTAAATATGAAAGTCCAATGTTTCCTGTGCACAATATTCATTATAACTTCACCCAATAAATTATCCCTTAAAAAATTCCGTAATAATAGTTGCTAATGCTTCAAACGTTAACAACAGGTCTCTTGTTTTACACGGTGCCTCAAAGCTAACTTAAAAACCAAATACTTATCAAGGACATCTGAATGTATTGTTTTCTTTGGGGCTGAAAGCACTTGCCAATGTGCTTCTTCAAGGCATTCTGAATGGAGAAATTGTCTGGAAGTGCTGTAGGTCTGAGTATAAACATGTTCTGAGCTGTAGCGATATTGCTTAAAATGTAATGGACAATTTCGAGTGGAGGACGTCAGTTCAGCTGCTTGTGTAATTAAATTCTTCTAAATGTGGGAGAAAGCATTATTTTTAGATGATACATTTTTGGGACATTTTCGAACAAGGTGGCACAATATTGTGGGCCCAGGGAAAAAGAGAGAGCTTGTTTCATGAAAGCTTAAAAAATAATCTGCACAAACTTGTCATTTATTAGTTGGGGGGGGGACAATGTTGAGTTTGTTTCACGGAACGGGTGAATAAAGATGCTTTTCTTGGTTGCGTCCGTGGAGAGGATGGGAGCAACATCTGATGGAAAGCCCCTGTGCTTTGGCTGCCACAAGAACAGCTTTGTTCCCATCTCCCGCTCTATTCCCCCCATCTCTCTCCTCTGCGTTCTCGCTCCGTGCCCGCGCTCTCACTCTTGTGCTCTCGTTTTCTATCCTCCATAGCTTGCTCTTTCACTCTATGCAGCTTGCTTTCACTCTCAATATATCTCTTTTTTGCCACTTGCTGTCATTGCTCTTAAATGTGCTCTCTCTCTCTGTCTGTCACTTCTCTCCAAACACACACACACACCCATTCTCTCACTATCTGCCACCTTCCCTGAATGATTCTGTCCATCTGTTTCACCCTCTCAACTCACTACTAATATATATTTTCTCCCGACAGAGCCTAATCCATGCAACGTAAACATGTGTATTGCATTGATTCATGTACAGATGGCTATTTTCTTATAACTACGAGGGATAGCTAAGTTTTACTATCAAAATACTAAAAATAATTCGCACTACCTTAGAGCTGGAATTATCTAAAGCTTAACACTCAATTTGGTGCTTTCGTGACTGCAGGAATTATTGTTTGGTTCTTTCGGTAAAGTCACGTATATTATTATGTAATTTATTCTTTTCTATTTATACGTGACTTTACCGAAATAACCAAAGAATATCTAAAGCTTATTAAATATATAAT